TTTGTGCACACGAGTATAATATAACAGAGCGGTTCACTCGATAGTTTCAAGACATAATATAGGTAGGCTATATTATGTCTTGAGGAATTCTCCCCTTTTTTTCAAAAGCATTATTACTATATATATCTCCATTTTCTAAGGACATCTACGCATTGTGTGCATCAAAATCCTATAATTTATGAGTTTATGACCAACGTAGCATATGAATATAACACGTTTTTATAGATACCGTCCAATGGTAGGTACACAATATGCCTCTCCGGACTGCCATACTCCCCGCGAACACCACCCCATCAAGCGATAAATAGTAATGGGGGATCGAAGTCCCTCACTCTTTTGTCCGTTTTCTGGAGAGTCGGCATTAAGAATAATCAATTGTTCGAACTATAGACTGCCAGACTGGGCACATACAAGACGTCCAAGCGTGACAAATCATTATATTTTATTATATTTCGGGGAAATGAAGATCGTCGTTCGAGTCGTATGTGCGTACAGTGTACCCGATAACCATTTTAACCTTTCACCTCGCCTAATATTGTTATAGTAATAATATACTTTTAGCTCCTATACAAAATATCACTTAACTGTTATCTCTTACTGGCGTCGGTCGGTCGGTCGGTCGGTCTGATTCTATACAACGACGTGTTTTTACTGTCTCCGGCTTTTAAGGATAAAAATATAATAATATACAAACAATAAGTCTGGTATGTTACTCTCCACTAATGGCCTAACCGATGGCTCACCCCGAACAGTATAATAATATTATCTCGAAAGATCTTCGATATTATTGCTTTGCACACAGCCATCTCACTATGTACCTATGGGACAGCGCGGCGTCAGAGGGTAGGGTTTTTTTTTCATTATTTACAGATGTAAGATATACATTTAGAATAAAATATACTCGACCCGACACGGTCCCGTCTGTTTTGGCGCCGAATATTTTGGGCATTATTTTCCATTTCACTCGCTCACGTCGATTCTATAATGCATAATATACATAAACATATTATCATCTATACACTATAGGCAGGTATATCACTTGTCTGTACTTATAATATTATTACGGTTTATAGGGCCATCGGTTTTGAACGATTTATGTTTTGTACATGCTTAAAATCTTCAATAATATTATTGGATCGTTAAGCCGTGGAAAGGGTGGGAGTGATTATAGGGGTATACAATGGGAGGGGACTAGCCCCTCTAAATTTTTTTAGGTACATTTAGAAGCTAGAATATATTATGTGTACTGAAATTTGTACTTGTATTTTAATAGAAGTATTATAACCCTCCACCAGTTTAAATTGATCACGTTACGCCCATGTAGATACCTATATCTTAGTCACGGGCCTACTGTACGCCTGAAAGAAAGAAGCAATTTTCCAATGCTTCAATAACCGTCAGTTCAAAATTAAACTTTTGGTGCAGGCATGACGAAAAAAATGCATCCTGATCTTATACTCGTATGACGTCTGCGCACACGTAATATCGTCTATAGCATAGGCTCTATACCTCTCATCTACCGAATCGATAGCAGTGACGGTTAAACTAAATCCTGATCAAAGTTGTTAATTATGTTAATATTGTCAGTAAAAAAGTTAAATTTAATCATTATTCAGTTGGAGGGAAATACTGTTACGTATAAGTTTATTCAAGTTGTTAGATATAGGTATAGGTACTCATATTCAGCAGAACGATGGTAGCGTCTGAAAAATGATAAAGACGAGTGACGACCTATTTTAACTTTTACCAAGAGACGTCAAACCATACTTTACATAACACATATTTTTTGATAATTATTTTTATAATTATAATATTTTATATTATGTATACCTATTTACGTGATACTAATAATGTAAAAAAAAATAAGAAAAATAAATTATCTTAATAATTAATAATTATTATGAATGGATAATTCGATAACAGAGTGCAATTAACACTTTGTGTATAATTTAATGATAATATGTTTTACTAGATAATATTTAAATATTACATACATACACATTTAATTATTATTATTAAAGCAATTTTAGGTATTTCATTATAATTGCTTATATCTAATAGTTTTTAGCCAGTACTATACTAACTACTAGTATACTATACTAATATTATTCTCCCTATTTTAACAGACTTATGACTGTCTATGGCATATTTATAGTGTAAACCAAAAGTACGGTTGAAAATAATTTTAAACCATTTATTTTTTTTTTTTTGGTTTCTTTGCCATTAAAAATATAAGCCATAAGAATTATTAAAAACTTCTAATGTTATGATATAAATGTAAGTACAATACCAAGAAAAATATTAAAATTTTAAAAATCAAAATATATTTTAAAAAAATAGACATATTAGTTAGGTTCCCTAAGCCCTATTATAATATATAAATGAAAAGAAATAATAATGTTAAAAAAAAATCAATTTTGTGTTGGTAATCATATATATATCAAATATATTTGACATTAATTTTTGGCATTGTAGGTACTAGGTACCCATATTTGTATTATATATTATATACCATAATTTGAAAAATTCAATTAATTTAGATTTTTAGCAACTAGTACTTGGGACCCAACTCGGATGTGCCAATTAATTATTTGCATGGTTACTTAATGTACTACAATATTACATAGTACTTTTATAAAATCATAAAATTTATGTATACTGATGATTTTTGGTCCTGAGTGATGAATGTATAGGTACAAAAATACGTATTGCTTTTAGTATAAAAAAATTTCAATCTCTAACTTTGAAGGAGGTTTCTAGTAAATGTTTAGAGTTGGTATACGTTGGAACCCAAAAGTATAAAATACTGCACTTTCCTAGAAAATCGGGAGAACTAAAAAAAAATTACAGAATAATACAAATATTCGTACAACACAAATTATATGGAGTATTGTTGTCAAAAAAGGGAGCTGTTTAGGAATTGACGTATTTGTACAATGGGAGCCAAATAGGCTACATAGCCTCAAATTTAACAAAATACACCTATTAATTACAGTGGCCTACTGAATTATGAGGTACGCACGACACGTGACCACCTAAGTATACCTAAGTATAGGTACTATTCAGCAGAGCTATTTCTCCGGTTCTTTGTCCACCCACTTTCACAAAGTGCCGAATAGATCCAATTTTCTACACGAAACCACAACCACACCCTCTAAGTAGAAAATCAAAGCATTTTTGCTGCTGTATTTATTGATGATGATTTCAGGACATCAGATACCTATAGACACAAAACAAATTAATTAATTAAAAGCTAACACCATCATTGTCAAATCAAAACATGTAGGGAGGTGTATTATTATATACTATTCAAAGCTTCCCTCAAACTAAAAGGTATGAATTATAATTACATGATGATCTATTCACCGTAAGTTACTCATTTAAATACTAAAATATAATTTTTAGATTTAAGCATTTATTCTTGAGTAATTTAATTTTTTACTTTTTTAATTCCTCGTTCCAAAATAAAATATTTGTTGAAGTACTTATATACTTTGATATATACGTCAAATTTTGGATAAGCTACTTATGAGTATTAGAGCATGACTTTTTAACCTTTTATTCTTTTAAAATAGCCTAAATATGATCTTTTAAGAATTTATTATCATATCATCAAAATATGCACTTTTATGCAATATTTTTTTTGAAATTTAGATTAGTTCTACGATTTTCCGACATATCTTATTCTCATAGTTGTTTTTACATAGTAATCCCTGCTCAGTGCTCTAGTTATAATTATTTAATGTTTAAATGGTCGGAGTTGTGTGGTACCTATTATATGTAATATGCTGCATCATAGGTGCCCCGTAAAATGTAGGTGTAGTACTCCAGTCAATTCCACTTAATTCTTCTAATTAAATATACTTATCCACCATAGGCGAGTCTACAGATCATGCCTATCATGCACAAGCATGACCTGCGAAATTTTATCTAACTTAGGTTGGTACATTATATATTGCAGTGCATAATATAAACTAAGATTTTTGATTTGCATCACGTAAAAATAAACATTTGTAAAAAGTATTATTAGTATTAAAATTATATTTTAAAATAACTAAATACAAATTCATATAACCTATCTAGTTATTTATTTATCTGATAAAATTAATTTTTTTTTTATTCCAAATATAAAAAGTAAAACTGATTTAATTATGATCAGATGATAAAGCTTATTTCAAAATTTGGGTATCATATTCCCAAACCTTAGTTTTTTTTTGGGGGGGGATGGTGCAGTAAACAGGCCTATGTTACAAACTTAGCTAAACTTTAAATGCCTACTATTGAGGATATATGTTTCACCCGCATTATTTGTTTTTTCCATCTTACAAACGTGATATGGTAAATTTTACTTTTTCACAATAGTACATTTTACTGTTACTTTTTAAATTACAGTAAATTGATCCATGATATAACGTTTTAAGGTAAGATTAATATACCAATAGTCCCATAGTGGATCCTAAATGGATCACTCTGCATTTAGCTGGTTATTATTTGTTAGAGAAAATTAATGATTTTTTTCCAGATTTGTATATCATTATAATAATATTCGTTAATAATTAATATTCGGATTGCTGATAAAATAATCGACCTTGGTGAGAATAATATATTGGCACTAGGCACAGTGTTCTCAATTGCGCCACCGTAATATTCAATATAACCGCGCGGCAGTCAAAAATTTTGTCGATCAGCGTCTCTAACGGCACGGCATAGCTAGGAACCTTATAAACTTGCGTAGTAAATTGGTTCACAGTGACATTTCACATCGTGACTCCTGTCGAACAGAACGTCGCCTGTGCTGCGCAACAGTCCGGTCCTTAGAATATTGGCTTACCGAAGTCAATCAGTGCTCAACTGCCAGACGACGCGATTATATATTCATAATAATAAATTAAATCGTATTATTATTAATATTTATATTAAAATTTATATATTAAATTAATTACAAAATAAATACTTTCTGTGATTATTATTATCCTCGTTGCACCACGAAGTCTTCAACAATGTCTGCTACAGGTGAGCAATACAATTTATGAAATATATATTTATTTAAAAAGGAATGTAGGTATATTGTGTATGCTATTATTAGTTTCTTTTATTTTTCCTGGTTTTAAATGTTCATGAATAAACAACCTATATTTGTCAATTTATTTTCAAAAACGAAGTCTTTTTTGCAACTTTATAATTTTCTAAATTCTAATATCAAACCCGAAGATAATTCATGGACATTTGAAGTTGAAAACGCTAACAAATTCTTTTTAAACCATACATTTTAATTAGTAATAAGGATTGTCGTATCTCGAGATACAATAATTTAAAAAAAATATTGTAGTTAAATTAATGTTTATCACATATACCTATTATTATTGAGGATTTTAATGTTCTAAAAAAACTAAAAAATGCACTAACAATTCTAAATAGTGCACTAAATAATTTTTTATTTTTTATTTTAAAGATATAAATTCTAATATATATTTTAAACTTTTAAATGATTGTAGAAAAGTTAAACAGACAGAACTACATTTAGAATACCTGTTGAATCTGAAAATTCACTATTTTTTCTTCTGTACCTATAGGTTTAGTCTTTAAATCATATTTTTATTACAAAAATCATATAAAACATGTGCAAATTTAAATTTAGAAAACATTTTAAAATGTTCTCAATATCTTTTAATTTAAAATCGTCAAAAAAATCAGTGACCTACATTTTTTAAGACGAGTAGATTTGGAAAACAATGCAAATTGCATTATAATCCCAACCTCAATCATTACTGTTGTAATATAAAATATCGCAAAATACATTTTTTTTACAGAGTGATTTTTAATACACTCGATTCAGAGTCAGATCTAAGAACGTTGCTTTTATAGATTAGGTCATTAGGAGATGTAGTGGTGGGAGTGTGGGGTCAAGTGCAATACTGCAGTGTCAACCAAGTTTTTACTTTTTTGATAAAAAAAAATTAAATGTTTATAAAATAGCAACAACTTTCCAAGTTTGTGGTATCAATGACTGAATAAGCTGAAAATATTTAATTTTATAAATTACCTAAAATTATAAAACCAACGGTAACATTTTATCTATTAAAAAATAATGTATTTGATAGTTTTAACGAACTATGTACTTATAATTCATAAATTAATATTTTTACATTCCTTGCTTATATGAAAGAAATTATGTCACAAAAATACTTTATAACTTATAGGATAGTGAGACAAAAAATGTAAAAATGGAAATATTTTGCCCTCCCCTTGACAAATTCCTGCGGACGCCCTTGCCCGTAACATACACATATTATTTACATTATCTATATATAAACTTAAACTATTAAATTAAATTTATATGCCAGGATCAACTCAGGAACGACCAACTGTGCAGGATGAAGAACAGTCGCAGACAGTACACAATTTGAAAGACGGATATCCAAATGGGTTGTCCAACATTTCGGACGAAAAAACTTCTACCAAAAACACTCTAAAATTAATGGCCATTCCGCTTGAATTGGTATTAATTCCCGTCACCGTGTTCAGACCTCAGACAAAAAAGTGCAGCACTAAGCCTAAGAACGAGTACTACATGTAGCTCATTTTAAATATTATATTACACCCATCACACCTCAGTAGTCCTCCAATAGAAGCAAATTATATATTATTATAATATTTTATTGTAAAAGTGTATTGTATCCCTGCAGTACACTCACCTTTTAGAAGGCCACATATAAAATGGCGTTAGATTATCACTTATGTATTCACAATAGATTATTAATATTATTATTATTATTATTATATTACTCTATACTTTCGATTGACAATTAAATAGTTTGTTTTTGTGTTTAATACGTGTATTTAATTATTTAAATCTCCTCCAATATTAATTCAATATAGCTCTATGCAAGCCCGTGCGCAGGATTTTATAACTTGTGGGGAGGGCCCCCTCCCGGGTTTGAAAAAGATATATAAAATAGATACTTTAATAATTAGCAAATAGTATATAATATTACACACAATCATAGTGGTGTACTAATATGTTAAGCATTATTGTTTATTACAAATAAGATAAGTAATAAAATATTTAATATAATCGATAAAAAATAAAAAATACGAATTATATTTTTTTGTTCAATGGAAACGGGGGGAGGGTGAACCCCCAACCCCCTCTTCCTTCTTGCGTGCGGGCTTGGTGCTATGTGATTTGTTTGCAGAACTTTCATTGCTGTTAATTCGTGTTCCACTCGGCTTAAGCTGGACCGTGCGAGTTTATTAAGTATTAAAAAACTTTTTCAAACGATTAATTGTGAAAAATTTTTTGTCAACAATTATTTATATATACAGGCACCTATGCAAAATATTTGACTTCACGATTAAAAGTTCCGTCGTAAACCAATAATTTTAGGGCTTGTTATGGCTCGTTTGGTTATCATTGATAACCATTATATACTATTATAGTAATATACTAACACAATGATACCTTCGGACACTCATTTAGGTAGTTACATCTGAATATCTGATACAAAAAGTGATGATCATAATATAAGTCCCATAGGAATAAAGGGGTTCTTCAAATGGTCACAATTAATGAGAGTCCACGTCCTACCTACAGAGTTTGAAGCGTATATTTAGGTACGAAGTTTTAAGAAACTCAAGGAGACTCCAAAGCCAATAGTGAAAAAGTGAAGTGCTGCTAAATTATTTATGGTTGATTAACAAGACACCTGTTGGACGTATTCATCACGGACCTATAACAAATGGCAATTGAAAAAAAAAAATGATTTAAATGATTTGAGATTAATTCTTAATAAAATCTTCATCGAATACATAATTTTTAAATAAATTAAATTTTTATAAATATAATCAACATGTTAGGTAGGTCGTAGATATAATAATATTTTTCTGAATAAAAATAAAATTAATATAACATTAACTATGACAATTTTTAGTGACAAATAATTATAAAAAATATATAGGTATTGTTAATTGACAAATATAATATATTATTTCGAATAAAACGATTGAGTCTCATTCACTTTTTATCAAATGTAGTGCCACATACAAAAAATTTAGGTAACCGCTCTACAATATTGGTGTCAAGTAGTGCCAACCTATAATACCTATATATATTAGTAAGTATATTTTATGATATTTTTATAGCAATAAAAGTTATTTATTTTATTATTAGTAGGTAAGTTCCTAACACAGTTGGTTGAATTAATTTTTATATTACATTTTAAATGTCATTATGTATATAAAATATAATATTATACTTAAAAAGTTGCATGTACCTACTTACGAATAATATTTTTGAATTGCAACAAAATTACTAAAATCGTTATTCTTTGTTTAATATCTAATTTAGTCCTAATTTAAATCTTAAATAGCTAGGTATACAAATAAAACTGTGTCTACATATTATACATTTTTAGATTTTTAGTTTATAACACTTATGAGAAACCTTGTTTTAAATTATCAATCTTTAGCTATAAAAATGCTTAGGTATAAAAAAAATCGTGCCTACTGCCTATGCATCTTTATATTTATAAAAATACCAATTATAACCTGTTATGAGGAACCTATCAATTAAACTATCAAACTTTTTTTTCCAAAGTAAAATAATTTATCGACATTTTTGAAAGTAAAAAAATCTATTATCAAATGATTCAATGATTGTTTAATTAAAATAAATTTTTTTTATGATGTGAATAAGACAAATTATAAATTAACTAATGCTCTTTGATGCCGAGTTGTATTTCAATTTTGAAATCAATAAAAAAAAAAAATCATAAATTCTATAAAAAAAAGACTCTTGTAAACTGGCTGTTACATGAATTTTAACTGTTTAAAATAAAATAGAATATCTATAAGTATCTCAAATATTGTAAATGATTATGTATAGATTGTATTATTGTATAATAACAACTAATTTACCTCGTCACAATCTCTGCTTAATGGGGTAAATTAAATAATAATACATTGTAAATTATTTTTAATAAATAATAATAAAATAATTATTGTGTCTAGGTAGGTACCTAAATGTTAAAGTTTTTACATTCAAAATTCTGTACTTTTTAAGTATTTTCAAATAATAAATTTTACTGAATAATTGTCTTTAGAATTAATAATATTGATTATTAAAACTAATGGGTTATCATTGAATATGATTTTAAAATTATATTTGATATAAACTGTATCAGGTATCCAGAATGCTATCTGTAATAAATGTTTATCATCATACCTGCTCATATTATACTTATTACCTATCAATAATTTTTTTTATTATTCATAGTTATAACTTATAACCAAGGGTGATCCACCTTGATTATAATTAATATCGTTATTATTATTATTATTATTATTATTATTTTACTGTTGTCTGTTTACTTATACTAGTTATACAAATAATCATTGATTAGGTATGTAGTATTGTAGTAGATAAGTAGTTCTAAAATTGATAATTATTAATGTTTTGTATTTCTTTGCTTAAGAAGGGCTACTGATCCTGCTTAGAGCTATCAGTTTTTTGTATTTTTACAATTCTATTTAATATTTCCAATATTGAGTATATTGTAGACTTGAAAAATTTATTTATATATTATAAGTAGGTAATTTTCATACCTAAATTGCACTAAAATTATTAAGTGATCCTCCATGTATCATTTAAAACATAGGTAGGTGTATGGTGTAGGTGTATGTGTATCGAACTATGAATATTATAAGATATTAAATGTTATCACTTATCATATAAGGTAGGTAGGTGACATAATCAGTAACAATTTTTTTCAATAATTGAGAAGTTAGTTGTATTATTAAGTGTTCGACAAGTTTCAGCGCATGCTAAAATGCAAACAGCAAATACTACTTACTAAATGCATAAAATGTTTATAAAAACCTATCTTTAATTTATCTTGTAAGACAATCACACCAGTGTAGGTACATGACAAAATGTCTTAATTATGTTACTTTAAAATATTCAATGTAATCTATAGACTTAGGCAATCGAGCAAATTAAGAAGACATATAAGGTCTTCATTTAATTAATTCATTGTTTATTTTATTTGTTGTTTTTTTTTTTTTTTTTTTGGCAGCTAGTAAATGTTCTTTTTTCCTCTAACCCAAAATTCAACCAATCTGTTTGTTACTCCAAGACAAACAATATATGCATATATTCAAGCATCCTATTTCAGTTATATTAATTGGTTATTTCAGTAGTGGACAAATCCTTTATGGCTTTATGATAGTCATCATCAAATTGTTTGTAAATGGATTCATCAGTTCACAAACTTGAATCTGATCCAAGAAAATGTATTTGATTCTGTAAAAACCAAACCATAATGTTATATAAATATATAATGAATCTAAATTGATTGCAAGAAAATTAAATATAAAGGATCCTACTTTATAAAATAAAGAAAAAATAACAAAAAAATATTACCTAAACATTTAGTTGAATTACCTAAATTTAGAAAATACAATTCTGAAACTGATTATAAAGTTAATCCATTTATCTGTCTATTATAGATAAAATAAATACTTATCTCAATAATACGCATATCATGATTATGAAAATGTATTAAGGGGATTGAAGGCGGTGATTTAATAAGGGATCGCGTATAGGCATTCGATGTCTTATATTCGTTAAGCAAGGTGTGGTTGTGTGTGAAGTAAATGATCATTAGTGTGCTCAGATGCGTTCGGAATCCGTCATGTGCTACTCTCGCACGTACACGCCATGTCAATAATTCGAAAAAAACGAAATTTATTCTTTTATGCATCACCTATAAAAACTACCAAAAGCGGTAGTAAATTAAACATACTTCCTGAAGTTTGAATGTAATTTCGAAAAAAATGGTTGAATTCGTTGGCTCCTAGACTATTCTCTGTAAGAACCACTTTTTTCGATAAAAAAACCCAAAAAGCCCAAAATAAAGACAAATGTAATGCAATTATTTTATGAGATTTTTTATAAAAATATCCAAATTGTATGATGTTTTAAAATTGAAAATTGAAAATCGACTTCCTAGATAGCCTAGTTATTTTGCCAAAGAATTTATACAAGTATTAAAATTAATTTCAGACATTTGTAAGTATGTGTAATTTACCACCGCTTATTTTTCTAAAATGTACAAAAAGTACGTGTGTGTGATCACAATGCATTTGACCCACAAAATAATAAATGTTATAATGCAATAGATATGTTAGATCCTATGGTATTACTAATTATATTTTAAGATATTACTTTGATCAAAGTAATTTATATTATAGGTAACCTATATACGTGGAATGTTATTTTAAATTTTTAATCCTTAGATATAAAAGTTGAAAATTTTATAAATTTTTAACTGCAAAATAATTATTAAATTTTGTCATAATTCTAGCTTTAAATGCTTATAAAAAAAAATTGTGGGTAAGTATTTTTAATATTTTAACTGCTATTGTAACATATCATATCAGGAGCCGTATTAAATGTTCACGCTTTTTTACCCAACAAATAAAATTTTATTGACAATTATAGAAAAAACAACTAAGAAAATTAAAACCTGACAATGTCCGTCTCAAAAAGTTATAAAATTAAATTAAAAGTTATTTAAG